TCTCTACATTACTCACTGAAACTTGTCACATTCACATTTAGTCATATGAATGCAGTGTGAATGTGCCTTACAGCAGAGATACACTTTTCTTTTAATACTCTGCTGAAGGAATACATTTTATAAATTCAACCTGTTGAGCCTTATCTAACACAGAAGGAAGCAGTGCAATAAAGTTACAGCTAAACAAAAGTCACACGAATTTACCTGCATTCACTGCCTGTCTGCATTCACTGCCTGTCATAAGTCAAATGAATTTCACTTTTATCTGAACTAATTTAGATGTCTGCTTGAACTGTGTAGCGGCAGATAAGGATGTGGTACACAGGCTTTTTGTAACATTTTATTGGACTTTGTATTAAAGGAAAATGAACAAATGTACAATGTTGGTGAATAAATAAAATTCCATATAGTTCTTCAAACGTCACCGCAGTCCAGGAAAGGCAAACAGTTGTCCTTTGTGTCTTCCCTGGTGAACTTGATGTTTTTATCCACAGCTTTAATGTGAGCAGTGAAGGACTCCACTTCTTGTGTTTTGATTTTGACCCAGGTGTCATCTACATATCTGTACCAGTGGCTACGTACTCTCCCTGGTACAGATATGTAGACGACACCTGGGTACGTATATGAATAGGAAGTTAGTGTGGGAACACACTGCTTCCTATTGTGGTGTATTTGTAATGATTACAGTTGGTAACAAATGTGTGTGTGTGTATGTGTTTGTTTGTTTGTTTGGGGGGGGGGGGGGGGGGTGTCAGTGTCTATCCAAACTTAAAAGTGTTTCCAATAAAGAATCTGGGGGAGAAGACAAACATATAGATCTGTATGCAAGAACTGAGTGACCTTCACTCTTCTAATGCAACTGTAAATTAACAATTTATTAATGCTACACTTCATTACGCAAGGTGCTTTCATTCAGTAGTGATCTCTCATATTCACAAATCCTAAATTAGTGCAATGTCCCATAAATAATTGTAAAACCTATAAATAAATGTATGTAGCTTATTCTCATTGGTCTAACACTGTGATATGCGTCAAGAACCCACCCACTACTTTAATCACACTCTAGATCTTGTTTTAACATGTGGCATAAACACTGAACATTTAACAGTGTTTCCTGAAAACCCTCTCCTGTCTGATCATTTCCTGATAACATTTACATTTACAATAATTGATTACACAGCGGTGGAGAGTAGACTTTATCAAAATAGATGTCTTTCTGAAAGCGCTGTAACTAAGTTTAAGAATATAATCCACCCACTGTTAGCTTTCTTCAATGCCCTGTACCAACATAGAGCGGAGCAGCTACCTGAACGCTACTCCAACAGAGGTCGATTATCTTGTTAATAATTTTACCTCCTCACTACGTACGACTCTGGATACTGTATTTCTGGTGGAAACTAAGGTCTCTAATCAGAAGTACCTGACTCCGTGGTATAATTCTCAAACACGTACCCTAAAGCAGATGACTCGTAAGCTGGAGAGGAAATGGCGTGTCACAAATTTACAGGATCATCATTTAGCCTGGAGAAATAGTTTGCTGCTTTATAAGAAAGCCCTCCGCAAAGCTAGAAGGTCTTACTATTCGTCACTGATTGAAGAAAATAAGAACAACCCCAGGTTTCTCTTCAGCACTGTAGCCAGGCTGACAAAAAGTCAGAGCTCTATTGAGCCAACAATCCCTTTAACGTTAACTAGTAATGACTTCATGAACTGCTTTACAAGTAAAATTTTAATCATTAGAGAATAAATTACCAGTAATCATCCCACAGATGTAATATTATCTACAGCTACTCTTAGTACCATTGATGTTAAGTTTGACTCTTTTTCTCCAATTGATCTTTCTGAGTTAACTTCAATAATTACTTCCTTCAAACCATCAACGTGTCTTTTAGACCCCATTCCTACAAAACTGCTCAAAGAAGTCCTGCCATTAATTAATGCTTCAATCTTAAATATGATCAACCTATCTCTAATAATGTACCACAGGCCTTCAAGCT